CTATGTTTTGTGCTAATCCTAATTTAAATTGCTATAGCAGGAACCACATTTTTCTAGAGTCAATATCATTTAATATGTTTTTCAGCCACTTCAACTTTCTTGTATTTCTGAGGATAATGAAATTGCAAGTCTCAAAAGATTTTAAAAGTAAATCTTTGGTTAGAAGTTCTGCTTTCAAGTTCTGTATTTTATTCCCTCTCTTTCTTCTGGTTACTTTTTAAAGATGCAGAGCATATCTTTTGGTTTTAAATTGCGTCACTTAAATTTGCAGTAAGATCATTTGGAACAGAAGGGCGGAAAAAGGATGGTCTACAAGTTCCTCCAAGTGATAAAGTTTACGAGTTCATACTCTTCCGAGGAACTGATATCAAGGTATATTGATTATCTCAATGAGAATCATATGCTGTGCAAATGAAAAGGCAAAGTCTGGACTAGGTGTTAAGAGGCTCTTCCTGGAACATGCATAATATGTATTATGATCATACTTGCGATCATTGCTTATGCTTGATTTCTTCTTGGATAAACTGTCTGTATTAGACCACACAGTTTGGAACTAGAAAACATGCATGCTTTTTTATTTTATTTTTTTTCGTGTTGTTTGTAAGTTCAGAATTATTGTCTCTGGTCATTCCTGCACCATGTTCAAAAGATTGACCGTTTATCAACCACACACTTTGGCACTGTATAGATGGTCTAAAATGAGGCATACAACTTCGAACTTGTTAGCCACAGACAGACTAGGATTTTGTTTTCATGGCTGAGTTTTTTGACACCATGTTGCTACTTGTTGGTAGTTGTGATGGTTTTGTATTTTTGCTGTGTCGTCTCTTTTATTTACACTCCAGATGAAGTTCTGGCTAAGATGTGCTAGGCTTGATTCTGGGCGCGAATTCATCAACCATGCTTGCCTGCCCTGGACAGGGAATTATATACTTGTTAAGCCCCTCCCTGTGCAGCAAAAATTTTGGTGCAGAATATCATAAATAAAGTGCCACTACAATTCTTGACACTGTTTCTTAGGACATCTCATGTTTAAAATCAGTTTCAGTTGGATTTATTAAAGCTTTGTTGCACACCAGCTCACATAAACATAAAGAAATCCTTCATTTGTTGAGTTTTGGAAAATCATGTTGAATATTTCAGGAGTTACAGTAGACCATCATTGATTTTACAGTTTATGGGCCAAACATTTTGTTAAGTTGGCTTCTGATAGTCTTCATATTTAAATTATCATTGGATAGCTCATTTGTATTCTTTCTTTGGTTCATTTGGTCACAGGATTTGCAGGTCAAATCTTATCCACCTGTTCAGACTGCAACACCAGTACACAATGATCCTGCAATCATCCAGGTGAAGAAAATAAAAATATGCATTTCTATACTTGCACCAATTAGATATTATTGATGTTCAGGTAAATAAATTAGGGCTGATTTGGATACTATTAGGGTTTTGCAGCAAATTTACCATGGGACCTCTACGAAAACTAGTGCCACCTCTTCCTTTTGCAAGGTAGAGGTCCTGGGGTTGAACAACAGAGAAAACTCTGGGTAGTGTGGGTTGCCCCCACTTCATAATTCCTGTTATAAACTTGAAGAAGAAATTTGCTAATATAAGTGATTTATTTGCATATATGGACATATGTGATTCCAGAATAATTTGTTTTATTAGTCAGTGGATAATACTTGTATAAAAATCTGAATAGTGCTTGTTGTATCTTGGCTTGACATGGACTTGTGAAAGAATGTCTTGCCTTGCTTACTCAACATTGTTTATTTGACTTCCCTTTGCAGTCTCAGTATCCTCAAGCAACAACTGCATCCATGAATTTGCCTCCTTCTGCTAATGGATCGCTAACAGATCCAAGTTCCCATGCTTCATCCAATGGTCTTCCCAGGGCAACATTTCAAGGGAGTCTTCCCCAATATCAGCCTGGTACGAGTTTAGAACCGTGGGGTTTGTCACATCTTCCTCCAACCACAAACACTAGTGGGCTTGCCATGCCAATGTATTGGCAGGGATGCTATGGGCCCTCAAATGGAGTTCAGGCCCCACAGCAAGCTTTGCTTCGACCACCTCCCAACTTGTCAATGCCACCTTCCATGTTGCAATATGTGCAGTATCCTGCCATGAATGCATCCAACACTTCAGTTTCTCCACTCACAGAAAACCCCCCTCCTTTGTTGCCACCATTTAGTGCAAGCACCTTAAATTTACAGACTTCTACCCTACCATCACGGTCTTCTGCAATGGTATCAGACTCAACAAATTTAATTCCTGACAGGGTTTCTACTCAAACTCTTCCTAGTAAAGTGCCATTGGCATCCCCATTGACCACTGCTGTAGATAAAATTGCAGTTGCATCATCAGGTTCTGACGTACCCATGACAGTGCCAGATCCAATAATGCCTTTTAAAAGTATTTCTGAAACTCCAACCTCCATTATCAGGGCATCAAGTTCAGTTATTAACGAGGGAAAAATGCCTTCTCTAGTTACGCCGGGCCAACTTTTGCAGCCTGGCCCCCCTATAATGCCCTCACTGCAGTCTTCACATATAGCTCAAAAGGATGTTGAGGTGGTGCAGGTATCATCACCAGAATTGTCAACACCACCACCAACAACAGCTGTGACTGAAGTACAGGAATCCATATTACCCCTACCTTCACAACCTGAACATAAGGTTTGCAAATTTGCCTAGAGCTCTATCATTGTTGACTTGAGAAAATTTGAAATTGAACATTTTAAATTGATTTTTCCTGGTGCCTTGTTTGGTAATAAATTCTTTTCTACAAGTTTCTCACATAAATTGTTTATATAATCTACCTCATCTGTTTCTTTTCCCTTTGAAGGTATATGGAGCTCCTATGTACACTTACCAAAGTAATAGAGGAGGCCGTGGAAGGGGAAGAGGAAATGAGGTATTTGTTGTCTTGCTTGCATTTTTCCATAATGGCAGATTTAACCTTTTTCTTCATCATGATCAGGAAATTTCACTTTGATTCTGTATGACATGGCCAACATAAAATAAGGACCTTACATTATCCAATGAGCTGTTACTTCTAAGGAATATTAAATCGAAAGTTTCTGATAACATCCTACTTTAGTTTCGCATTCTCTAATTTCTTCTCCCTTTCCTTTGTTTTTCGTTTTTTTTGGTTATTTTTGCTTTTCTTAACAATGCAATTTCTAGTTCTAGGTACATAATAGTCTTAGTTTTTGTGCTTAATTTCTTCCTTTTCTTTCTCAATCACTGCTAGTTCATTGGTAACACCAGAAAAACAGTTTGTCTGTATTGCTTTTCCAAACCAAGTTAGTTATGGCCAATATTCTTTGAGGTGATGGTATTGGTGGACTTTGATTTTTAACAAACCAATCTTTCGGATTGCAGATTGCACGTTCTGCTACCAGATTTGAGGAGGATTTCGATTTTACAGCAATGAATGAGAAATTCAACAAGGAAGAAGTATGGGGTCACCTTGGTAAGAGTCACAAAGGTCAAGACAGGGATGATTTACTAGATGAAGATGATGTTGGATCATCAAAACATGAGACCAAGGTAAACTCTCTCTCTCTCTCTTACACGCGCGCGCGCATGCGCGCACACACTCACAAAGCTGTAAAGATTGAAAGGATCTTCTGTCTACAATCCATTGTATTTGTTCTTACTCCGCATTTCTTGTTCTGCAGCCTGTTTATGTGAAGGATGACTTTTTTGATTCTATTTCGTGTGGTGCTCTTGATGGTGGATCACGCAATGGGAGGGCTAGGTTTTCCCAGCAGTCTATAAGAGATACCAATGTCAGTGTTGTTCCCTATAGTCCTCATCAGTTTACTTTTTCTAATTTTATAATTTAATCTGATAAAATTTGTCAATGTCTTTACTGCAGCTACTAAATTATGCTGGATTGTCCACATAGTTTTGTTTTGTTTTAGAATAGAAGTTTCAAAAACATTCTGAACTGCTGAAATGATGAATTTCTTTTTTCAAATGCCATGATCAACCCTGTTTCTCTTTGTTCTGGAATAGTTTTTGTTTCATTATAACTGAGCTGAATTTCTCTTGATTTAAAATTGCAGGCATTTGGTAATTTCTCCCACCATCGGGGTGGTCGAGGTGGCTGGGGACCTGATCGGGGTGGTCGAGGTGGCTGGGGACCTGATCGGGGTGGTCGATCACATGGTGGTTATTATGGAAGAGGTTATGGCTATGCTGGCCGTGGTAGAGGTTACGGCAATGATTCCTTCTAATTATCACTCGAGTTTATAGTGTAATATTTGGTGATATTTAGTTCCTGTCGAAGTCATCTCACACCAACCAATACTGAGTTTGTAGGGTAATGGTTGGTTTGGTGCTTGGAGTTTGCAATGCAATGATCAGGTGTAACCTGTCACCTGATGGTAATGCCTGGCTGAATTGGAGATATCCATAAATGGTGATGTAACTTCTTCTCTGGTTGCTTGGAAATGTGCTGAAAATAAACAAAAGAACATATTTTGTTGAATGACTAATTTATTTGTGGAGTTCCCCCACCTTTTATGTATTGTTTCTTGGCCGAAGTGAAACTTAAAGACAAGCAGTTCTCTTGAAATCATTCCTCTTGTTTCCTTGCTGTGCTCAAATAACAAGAGCATGCCAGCTAAACAGCAGCAACTCTATTGAAATGGTAAAACTTGAACTTTAATGTTGCCATGATTGCAATTTTATATAGGGATAGAAGGAAAGCAAATCCTCCATGCCTGGCCAGAACTTGATCATTGAAGGTATCATATGATATGTGAAATTTCTCTGTTGTTCTGTTTCCTCTGATCACTGATCAGCCATCATATGTTCGACTGTTAACTTCTTTATGCCTTGTTAGGGAGCAGCACAACATCATCAAACCTTTTCGGTTCAGCAATATATCGAACGTCGGTAGCATAGGTGGAGGCAAGCCCTCCATTGTTAAAATGATGATATTATAGGCATGTATTTTGTAAATTTTAAGGGCTCAACCCTCTCCAGTGACTTCAATCTTTTGTTGCAAATGCTCATGAAAATCTGGGTATCACCTTGCCGTTTCGTTAATCCGTTATGATATTATCAACACTCCTGTAAATGGTCTACACCCACTCGCTACTCGCAGCAGTCCAGCAGCATGTATGTTCAATAGAAGTTCCTCCGCACATTCCATGGTCAATAATTGAAAAATCATGAGCAATACATCTCTCAACCCTGGTCCTTTACAGAAGTGCCAAATTGAACTCATTAGACAAAAACAAATCAAAAAACAAGATGAAAGTTCCCTTGAATGAGAGAGCTAACCTTGCTATAAGCCCACGTATAAGACTAGATTTTTGTATGACTTTTAAGGTCACGTAACCATATTAACTCCCTAATGCTTTTGCCGCCCAAATTGTCTTCAAGTCCTCTCCTCTGGACCATTCGGAGACCATCTCTCTCTCTCTTTTCTTCACTCTTTTAACCTTGCAAACAAAAGAAACAAGAAAAACTAGAACAAAACTTTGACACTCTTTCCATGGCAACCATGTTTCTCTTCCTTCTCATTCTCCTTATAATCTCTTCCTTAGTTCTTGCAGCTTCTAGCCCTTTTTCGAATGCCTTGGAGATCCTCTCAACCTCTGGCTATCTCTCCATGGCATTAACCCTTAAAATTACTTCGAAAAGACTCCATCTTGAATCATCTGCTGCAACTATATTCGCTCCATTGGACATTGCATTTGCAAGATTAGGCCAACTTTCTGTTCTTGATCTGCAATATCACATCTCGCCAGTGAGACTTTCTGTGTATTACCTCGATAGTCTTCCTTTTGGTACAAGAATCCCCACGTTGTTTCCAAATCACTCATTGATTGTCACTACAAGTTTGAGTTATTTTGATGGAAAGTTGTCAATCAATGGAATCTCGATTGAAGAATCTGCCTTGGTTGATTTTGGGTCTGTGATCATGTTTGGTAGGAGTGAGTTCTTCAATTCTTCTCTTGAGATTTCTCCTAATTTAACTCCAGCACCAGAGCAATACTTCTCAGAATGAATCAACAGGCTTAGATGTCGATTTTTTTGGCCAAGCTTCACATTTACTAATGTCTAGCGGTTATTCAATAATTGGAACATTTCTTGATGTGCAACTGTTTGGGATCAAGAACCAGACAAGAGTGACAATCTTTGCACCAGTTGATCAAGCAATGGATGCATATGCAAAGAATGTTGGTGATTATTCATCGATCTTTCGGAAACATGTGGTTCCTGGATTGTTTCCAAGGCAAGATTTGGAGGGGTTCAATGATGGAACAAGTTTGCCAACTTTCTCAGGAGGGTTCATGATTAATTTGACTAGGTCTGGTGATGTGCTTGTGCTTAATGGTGCTCCTCTTATCTTTCCAGACATGTATCAAAGTGACTGGCTGATAATTCATGGCCTGAACCAACTGCTTATGCCACCATTAAAGGAGGAGGAGTTGGGGGGAGTTTCTCAGAACTTGATGGAGCAGAAGATAAGCCGGATGTGCTTGGTATTGATGATTATGCATATGGAGCACCATGAATGTGTAAATGATCAGTAGTAGTCTCCTCTTTTAGTTAAAATCCTCTCCAAGCTGCCGCACCTTCTTATCAAGTGCAATTTTACACCTCCAAATCACACAAAGCCCTCTTAGAATTAAAAATCTTCTGCCATAAACATAATTTCTGTTCTCTTGGAAACATAGGAAGTGAAGCTTCAAGTCTTTAGTTTATTCTCAAACTTGACAAGTAATTAAGATCCATAAGCATAGTTTCAAGACTTTGGAACAAAATTCTTCCCAATATTAATCAATACGTTGCGAGGCATGAATTATTAGAAGAGGAATTAACTATGAAACATTTAAGTATTACGGATTTCTTAAACCAGAAATCAATCAAATAATTTTTTTCATTATTATGGTTAAAATTTTGAGTTTTTTTAGCAGTCATAAACTAGGATAAATGACGAGGAATTAACTATGAAACATTTAAGTACTATGTTTTAAATTCTTATGAAAAAATAAAATACAAAATCATGAACATAAATTAACACATCTGTATAATCATTGAGAATGAATTTTGAAGAATTAACTCTAACTTTGATGATACTAAGAAAACACATCACATGAAGAAGTCACCATGAACATCGATTGAGGAAAATAATCATGTAAGCTATCAACCTTTTCATGCATTCATTCACACAATTCATTTGCATTTTTTTCCAGAAACATGATGGCTATATTTAAAAAAAACAAATACAAAAATCATCTAATAAATAAACATTAATTGTTTGCTACTCTATGATGAACGAATATTCATCGACCCCAGTACAAAGCTCGGATTGCATATAAGTGAGGGGTTGAAAATGGGTTAACACAGTAGAGATATAAAAAACTTCATTTATTGTTCTGTACAATCAGGATACGCATGTATACAAGAGTTCCTATACTATTTATGAAATTACTTAAAAAAGCAACAATTTAAATAGGCTAATTTAGGAAGTTTGCTCTACTACCATGCAGCCTCATAATCTTCCTCTTGTTGAGAAATGACAGCTCTACAATCACGTGTCAGCTCCTCCTTTCAAGCTAGTGTCTAGATATCAATTGCCCAACTTATCGAGAGATTCAGAAAAAAATTTCTCGGATACTGCATGTTTTAACACAACTGTAGTTGAGCTTCAGACCATGATCTTGGTGTCTAGTTTTTCTCTAATAAAAATGATGATATAATTCAATGTGCTCTCTGCGAACATGTTGAACATGATTATTGTTAATTTTCCTTGTAACTTTATTGTCATAATAAAAGTTCATATCCCAAAGGTGGATAATCTATTTTAAAATAAAAACAACCACAATAACTCACAAATACCATAAGTCATACCATAATATTCAGCTTAATTCAATCAAAGACTTGCTATAATATTTTGTTTTTTTACTTCGCCAAATAACAAGATTTCCTCACATAAATATAAAATATCTAGATGTAGATTAATGATTAGAAGAAGAACCTGTCCGACCAGCATCTGTACATCCTTCAACATCCATATATCCATGTTTATGAAACATGAGTCCTTGGCTAGGGGCTGATTTGAGATAACTGAAAATCATCTTGACTGTTTTCATATGTTTTTTACTTGAAGAGTGGATAAAATAACTTACCAATCCAATATCATAGTCAATGCTAGATTGAGTACAAGGTAAATGAATAAACTTTCTAACTAACCTTTTATTTATCTTTATTGATTGGTATTTGATCCTAGCACACTTGTAAGTAATTATTTTTTTTTTTTAATTTACATGGGTATCCGGGCCAGCTTGTACCCACAATGACTAATTCTACGATCAATTGAACATCCTGCTAGCCAAATAAACATGTAAGGCACCGCGGAGATGACAAGTATGCATAGTAAGACTTGAACCCTAGTATAGAAAAAGGAAATAAATCCTTTCCACTACTAAGCTAACACTTCAAGTGTGTAAATAACAATAAATTTAATGAATGACTTACAATTTAACATATTAATTTTAATTAACAAATTAAGTAGATAGTTTTGTTAAGAAAGAAAGATTTTTTAAGTATATATTTTTGTTATAAAAGGAAGATTTCTTAAGTAGAACAAGCAACTTTAATTTCTAGAAAATATTTGAGACTTTCCAATTTTTTCATCTCAAATTTAGATATTGGATATACGGTTATTTCTTATGAAATCATGTCATTATCATAAATAATTAACAAACATTTTTTGTGATCTAACTTATTACTTTGATAATATCTAAGCCGCTTCATGAAAATAGTAAACTGTCCAAACTAATATCTAAATAACTATTTTAACATATATATATATATATATATATAATGTTTGATATAGTTGAAAAAAATCACTGCCATCATCATTAGACTCGTAACCCTAAGAAAAAACAATATAAACTCTTTTCTCTAAGTCACCGTATAAGAAGTATTTTTAACATCAAATTGTTTTAGTAGCTGATCATTATTGAAAACTGTTTTTTTTTAATAATATTCCAATGTTAGTGTTTTTTATAAAAGAAAACTTATGTAACCTAAAAATCCTAACAAACATTTAATTATTTCAGCAAAAAATTCACATGCAATTAATCTACTGATTTTATAATTCATTCCCAATTCTCGTTAAATTATATATATATATAATGTATTAATCATACCTTCAATTCTCTAATAATTTTCATCGACGTATACTTAATTTATTAATCACATTAAAATCTTCGATGACCAGAAAAAAAAAATCATTTCATTCTGTTAAAACTAATAACCATAATATTCATGTCTTCCATTTTTATTATATAGAAAGTTATCCGAGAAATTAATAAAAGTAAAGGAAACCCAGTATGGCGCTGACGTGATAGTCAGTTGTAAAACCTTTAAAAAAAAAAAAAGGGTGAGTTGGAATTTTCTCTTCTTGCAAGTTGAAGTCCTTCCTCAGTCACTTAGACAAGAAGTAACTAATGTTAGATTCTCTGTCTTTGGGAGTGTAAACATAAACAAAGGCAACCGATCAAAGAAAGGAAGGCATAGATCCAAAAGCCAAACCCTTTAATAAAGCCAAACCCTTTTTTGCTCTACATTTTTCTCCTTATATTTGCAGTTATTTTTTCTCCCCAACTTTGCAGTTATTATTATTTATTTTTTAAAAAAGAAGAAGAAGAAGAAGAAAGAAAAATGGCAGTTCCAGTGATTAAATTTCCAATCTTGATGAGGTTGATTAGGTTGATGGGGGTGTTAGTAACTGCTTTGGTGTTGACATGGACTGTTCATTACAGAGGAGGACTGGCTCTTGTCTCTGTTAACAAAGATCTCATCTTCAATGTAAGAACTCCAACTCTCCCTCTCATTGACGCTGTGATTTCAAAATTTGGGCTTGGATGATTGGTGGACTTAATGCAGCTTCTGTGTCCCATTTGTAGGCACACCCTGTTTTAATGGTGACTGGGCTTGTACTTGTGAATGGTGAAGGTAACTATCCCTTTTCAGCTCATTTGGCATTACTGGTGTGTGAATTCATTTGTGCTGGGGAGGATATGATTAATCAAGAGAATGTAGATCTAGTATCCTTTTCATTTCTGGATATAGACAAGAGAACTCTCTCCAAGTGTTCTTCTAGTTGTGAATCTAACAGATAAGATAATTAAATGTTCCAAGGACAAGCGATGGTGTAAAACATAGATTGTAGGCCTTATTTATTTGAGCAGAAACTTGTCAATGATTGTAAGATGAACGATTGTCTTGTCCTGGAGAAGGTGAAGAGAGAAAACTATGACTTAAATTTGGCATGTTAGGAACTTCTCATGTTTCGTTATCTTAAATATGAACTGACTCTTCACTGGTGGCATGTTGGTGTTTTCTGATTTTGTGTTTCAAATGCTTTTTACGGACTCGTGCAGCCATGCTAGCCTACAAAACGGTGCCTGGAACAAAAAGCTTCAAAAAACTAGTTCATCTCACACTACAATTCCTCGCATTTTGTTTAAGCTTGATTGGCTTTTGGGCTGCTTTGAAATTCCACAATGACAAAGGCATTGACAATTTTTACAGCCTGCATTCTTGGCTGGGACTAGCTTGCCTTTTCCTCTTCAGCATCCAGGTCTCTTCACTTTTCCTTTTCACTCCCTTTCTTGATTGCCCACATGCATTACGCTTCTTCAAGTTAATGAACTACTCATAGTCGTTTCTTCATTCCAGTGGGCTTCTGGGTTTGTAACCTTTTGGTATCCAGGAGGTTCAAGAAACAGCAGGGCCACCTTGCTTCCATGGCATGTGTTCTCTGGGGTTTATATTTATGCCCTATCTGTTGCCACTGCTACTACCGGTATCTTAGAAAAAGTCACTTTCCTCCAAACCAACAACGTGATATCACGCTACTCCACTGAAGCTTTGCTGGTGAACTCATTGGGTATCTTGATGATTGTTCTGGGTGGTTTCGTTGTTCTTGCATCAGCTACTTCTCTGGAGAGCAAAGGCGACATCCCTAGAAATGCAACAGAGTAGGCATAACATGTACATTTCTACAATTGATGATTGATTGAGTGGTGTATTCTTAATGCATATGAGTCACAGGTTTATAATTTATTGTTAAAAGATCAATGTACCACAAAAAAAAAAAAAATCGCTTGGAGTTCTATTTGTTTGCATTTGCATGTTGAACATTGAGAAAATATTTCTGAACTTGTCATTTTAGCAAAGGTTAAGCAGAGTGGTTTCTCTAAGGTTGCAACTATAATGTTCTTGGTGTTTAAAGGAAGAATCACAATTTTCTTTCAGAAACCCCTGAACCAATAATTCCGGCACCTGGGAAAGGACGAACTTCTTGATCAAAATGTAGCTATGGCTTGCACCTTTTCTGTAAGATCTCGTTATATGAGGTCAATGAACTTGTTCATGATCTTGAGCAACTGAGCAAGGAGAGGATCCAGGTTAGTGGCAAAACAGTAGGCTTTCCCAGCTTGAAATTTCTTGACGATAGTTCACTGGATCAAAGATTTTCCAAAACCACCTATTATGGAATAGATGAATGAAATTCTTTAAGAGGTACATGAAAATGACACGAATGTAGTGTCATATTGAGGAAACATAAAATTGATAGC